GCGGCGGCAACGGGCTGCGCGCTGACAGGGTGTTGCTGCGTTCATTTGGCTCGTTCACTCGCTCGAAGGGAGCTTGTCTCTGCTCGCTGTCGACTGCTCTGCACGCCGTCTGCGCTGTCCCGCTGCGAGCTCGTCGCCATTTGCGATCTGGTCGCGTCCTCGACGCGCTCGCACCTCGCCCGTTGTCCTTCTCCCACACTCGCTCTCGCCTCTTCGCTGAATCTGCTGGACTAGACTGCTTCTTTGCTGGCCAGAGACGCCTCCGACACTCGCTCGCACCCGCCAGCTTTTGCCGCGCTCTCGAACGGCCTCCTCATCACCTTCATCCCCACATCCGCCCTCGTCCGTCTCGCACAATGCATCGCAGGCCCAACGAACCCTACCATCCCCCCTCTTCACCATTCCAGAGTCGACCGGATGCGTCCCCAACTCCGCAGAGGCCGCAGGGGCCGGGTTACGCAGGAGGAGGGCAAGGGAGTACCCAGATGCAGCCCCAGCCGAGCTACCATTCGCATAGGAGTCAGGACCCGTATGATGAGACGGCGAATCTGTATGGTGCGTAGTGCGCGAACCGGAGCCGGATGTTCGCTCGAGTGGGAGTGATTCCAGGAGGAGCTGACTGTCCTCTTCCGTGGTACGCACAGGTTTCTATGCTGCGGAGGACAACGCCTCGACGACCTCTCACACGGCATTGAACATGCCAGTCACGGAGAAGGACTACTACCACTCTCCTCCTCCCGCATCTCAGCACCTTCTCAGCCCTCACTACTCCCCTTCTCACCAGATCCCCGCCTACCCTCCCCCTCCCTCTCCTTCAGCGCACTACATCCCCATGCCCTCTCCGCATGGCTACTTTCCCCCTCAACCACTCTTCTCCCCCTCCTTCCAGCCCGGAGCCTACTACGAATCCTCCTCGCACTACGCTCAAGCCCGTCAAGCAGTCATGGAGCGCCGCGAGCAGAAGAAGGTCGAGTTGGTTGATGGACACCTCGTGTTGGAGTTGAATGTCCCGAGGAGCTTGAAGCAGATTTCGAGGTTTGCGGGGGAGGATCTGAGGGAGGAGAGTGGGAAGTTGAGGTGTGCGTTCGCCTGACTCGTTCCTCTCTCCACCGTCCTGTGGCAAGAGAGTGTGTGCTAACTGCCGTGGTAATCGTACAGACACCGCCGTCACCGACGACCCCGACGACTTCACCCGTCAACGCTACCGTCTCCGCCAGGTCCTCGCAGGTCGTCAGACCGAGCTCTTCATCTGCTGTACTATGTGCATCATCGCTCTCTTCCTAGCTTCACGGACGCATGCTGACCTGCGCTCCGGCGCTCGAACAGGTACAACGAAGGTCCGCCCGATCCTCCCAATCTCCCCTCCCTAGCTCGCTGAGGTGATTCATCCGCAGACGAAGAACTCTTCTGTCGGACTTTCCGCTCGGTCATCAAGAACATCCAGCACTTGCAGTCGCGAACGAAGAGCAAGACTTGGGGTGTCGAGAGCTGGAAGAAGGGTACGTTCGCTCTTCCTTCGAGTGTGGACTTGCCGAGAAGCTGAGGAGGCACTGACGGAACGTGGTGCGGCAGTCGTCGTCTGCATCGTCTCGGACGGACGAGCGAAAATCAACCCTCGCACGCTCAAGATCCTCGGCTTGCAAGGGGTGTACCAGGACGGCGTCATGAAGGACTCGGTTGAGGGCAGGGACACCCAGGCGCACGTGTTCGAGTACACGACGCAGGTGATGGTTGATTCGGATGGGACGGTCAAGGCGGGGATCTCGCCTATCCAGGTCGTGCGTCGCGTGACGTCTCTGCGCTTCCTTGTCCATAACGGAGGCGCTGACGGCTGGAGTCCGCAAAACCAGATCTTCTGCCTCAAAGAGCAGAACCAGAAGAAGCTCAACTCGCACCGCTGGGCATTCAATGCCTTCGCCCCTCAGCTCCGACCCAACGTCTGCGTCCTAATCGACGTCGGCACGAAGCCCGCCTCGGACTCGATCTACAAACTCTGGAAGGCGTTCGACAAGCATCCGCATGTCGGCGGAGCGTGCGGCGAGATCACGGTTGACCTTGCGAAGGGATGGAGGAACTTGGTCAATCCGCTTGTCGCGGCGCAGAACTTCGAGTACAAGATGTCGCGTAGGTCTTAGTTCTCCTTCCGCACCGGACTCGCGAGCGAAGGCTGACGCTCGAGACGCGCAGACATCCTCGACAAGTCGCTCGAGAGCGTCTTCGGGTTCATCTCGGTCCTTCCTGGCGCGTTCTCCGCCTACCGGTACAAAGCTGTGCGTCCGCTACTTCTTCTGCAGGTTTTGCGAGGACGTGCTCATCCGGACGACTCTGCAGCTGCTCGGCGACCCGCTTCAGGCGTACTTTGCCGGCGAGAAGATGCACCAGCCCGTGAGTTCGCCTTTCCCCCTTCGTAGCGCTCGCTGTGTACGCTGACGATCTCGCTATTCGCTGCAGGGCAACATCGCGTCTCTTTCGGTGAGTTCGCTTGAGCCCCGCTCGATCTTCGCCATTGCTAATACCGCTCATCGCCTTCTTTCCCCGCCGCAGGACTCGAACATGTATCTCGCCGAAGACCGCATCCTCTGCTTCGAGATCGTGACGAAGAAGCGCGAGGCTTGGGTTCTCCGGTGCGTTCCGGCTTCGTTGCTCGTGTCCTCCCAAAGAGTGCTGACACCGATGGGCGAACGTACAGGTTCGTCAAGGGCGCGCAAGCGAGTACCGACGTACCGTGCGTGCTCTCGTTTCCCTTTACAGTCTCGACATGCAGCTGACCTTCGCTTCGACGCCTACAGCGATTCGGTGGCTGAGTGTGCGCCGCACCCTGCTTCCCCTAACAGCAGCCGCACTGACGCTTCCCGTGCAGTCATCTCGCAACGCCGTCGCTGGATGAACGGCGCGTTCTTCGCGGCGCTCTACGCGACGACCCACTACTACCGCGTCTGGACAAGCGGCCAGAACGTCTTCCGCTGCATGTGGCTGTCGATCATCTTTCTCTACAACGCCATCACCGTGCGCGCTTCTTATCTTCGTCACCGCGAAGCAAAGAACTGACTAATTCGACCTGACAGCTCATCTTCTCCTTCCTCGGCCTCTCCTCCTTCTACCTCGCCTTCTACTTCCTCTGCACCTCCGCGACTTCCGATGCGTCGAAAGACCCGTTCGGCGGCTACGGAAGTGACGTGATCGACGTCGCAAACTGGGTTTACGTTGCCACAATCGGCGTGTGCATCGTCTGCGCGCTCGGGAACAAGCCATCTGGGTCGAGGTGGTGGTATATCCTCGTCATGCTCGTATTTGCGGCGCTTTTCGGCATCGCGGTACGCTTCATTGCGTTCTCTCCCTCGCCTTGCTCCCTTTTCTTCCTCACCCTCCTCCCTTTTCTCCCTCATCCTTCTCCTCGTCCTCGTCGTCCTGCTTACTCACGCACGCTTGAGCAGATCTATTGCACCGGCTGGGTCGTCTACAACTCCGTCCCGCACACCGTCGCCGGCTGGAAAGACATCAAAGATCTGCTCGCGACGTCCGCCTTCCGCAACTTGGTCATCAGTATCGGCGCAACGCTCGGACTGTATATCATGTCGTCGCTGCTTCACCTCGACCCGTGGCACGTCCTCACCTGCTTCGTCCAGTAGTGCGTCTCGCCCAGGACCTCGATCATGCCGAGACGCTGGCTGACAGCCCCTTTTCCGCACGGCACAGCATGATGTACTTGCCGAGTTTCATGATCGTGCTGCAGATCTATGCCTTCGCCAATCTGCACGACCTCGCGTGGGGCACGAAGGGCGACACGACCGTCAAAGATCTCGGCGGGACCAAGAAGACAAAGACGGCCGACGGCAAGGAGGTTCTCGAGGTTGCGGTTCCGACGAAGGACGAGGATATCGACGAGTTGTGGCAGCACATGAAGCAGGACATTGCTACGCCGCAGACCAAGACGAAGAGCAAGCGAAGCGCCGACCAGAAGCAGGCCGACCACTTCGCCAACATCGTCCGCTGACAGCTTACCCTCTGGTACGACGATTGACTGACTGGCATCTCCTCCACAGCGCACGAACACTCTCCTCTTCTACCTCGGCGCAAACCTCTGCCTCGCGATCGTCTTCTCGTCAACCAAACTGTGGACGGTGAGCACGACGGAGTTTCGCGACGCGCCTTCTCCGTCGCTGATACCTGTCCTTGTGCAGAAAATCCTCCACGTCGACGGCTCGGTGTCGTACTACTCGATCGCCATCTTCTGGGCAGTAGCTGGTCTATCTGCCTTCCGCTTCATCGGGTGCGCGCTCTCCTTCCTCCTTTAAGACTCTTCCTAATGCTTCTCTGTACAGCTCGACTATGTATCTCGTCATGCGTCTGTTCGGGCACTAGAGAAAGCCTTTTTGTCATCCATCGCCGCTGTTGTAACGCGGTCAGTTATTCCGCGAGACCTGACGCGGTGCCCGACTCTGCGAGATGAGAGAGTCAAGCTGCTTTCCGCTACGTGAAGCTGACATGCGGGCAACTATGCTACGATGCAGGATGCGCGCGTGCGGAAGAAGGAACATGCGAAGCAGGTGCGAGAGATGGATGCGACGAGAAAACGATGCGAAATAAGAGACAATCTAACAGGTGCAACGACATGGACGCGAGACAACAGGAAACGACAGTATCATTCGATGATAGCGAGAGCCTGCCTCGCGGCGTCGACATGCCAGCTCATACGCCCACTCGTCCCAAACCTCGCCTGACCCAGCGCTGCCAGCTCAACGAAGCTGCGCGTCACATCCGAGAGGAAGTCTCTGAGCGTCGCGTTGTACGACGAATTGCGGGTGCGATGGGAAAGGAGGAAGTGCAAGGCGTAGGCGGAGACGGCTGGACAGGGAGGACCGGATGGCGCAGGTGCTGAGGTATGGTCGGCCGTCGAGAAGCGAGGGACGCTGAAAACGTATGTACTTGCCGGCGCAACAAGGGCGCCGTCCGAGAGGGCGACTGGCTCGCGCGGCGTGAACGTGAGGGCCGAGGAGCTATGGTCGAAGATTGGAGACTTGTCGGCCGTGCTGTCGCGCGTACCTGTGAAGGTGACTTCGCCATCTTCCGAAATGACGGTTGACGACGTCGCTGGCCGCGAGACGACCGGGTTTGACAGGTCGAGGGCGATGGTTGGGGCCAGCTCGACGCAGACGAAGCTGACATGCATCTGACGCCGCGACCCCGTCGATACTTCTCGCAGGATGGAATCCCAAGCTGGAACGAAAGCAGTCAGTGCTCGCAGCGCTAGCAAAATAAGGGAGGACAACGCACCTTTCGCCTCGACCGGGCTTGGCTCGTCGACCTTGCAGATCACGATCCTCCACTCGACGTCGGCGCAGTCGATCATTCCTTTGAGCAGCGTCCACACGACCCGTGCACGGTGAACGTCGGCGACCGCCCCGTTCGGCAGCTTGAGCACGCGCGGCGAGACTCGCCATATCTCGCCTCGCTCGTCGATGATCGTAATCACAAGCCATTCGCCGTCGCCGCTTGCCATCGGTCTCGAAGCGTACGCGATGTGCAGGATGCGGTGCCGCTGTTCGACCTCGAGAGACGGCGAGGGCCAGGCGAGGACGAAGTCGACCTTGAGCGGTTTGGGCGGTGCGATCGAGAAGGCGGGCGCCTGAAATAGTCGCACGGCGGGACCGAGAGGCGCAATAGGCGGAGGACGGGCTGAGGGGAAGGTTTCGGGCGCAGGGAGGCGAAGGCGTTCGATCGGTACTTGTAACTGGTCGTACACGTTGAAGGCGAGACGGAGTAGGCGATTTGGTCCCGGTTCGTCTGGCGCAGAACTCGTACAGTGCGTGATGCTTGAGAGCGAAACGGGACACGCGACCATATTGACGACGGTGCTGCGCGATTTTCCGATCTGGTGGAGGATGCCGGCAAGCGGCGACTTCGGGGCCAGCGGTGACTCGCCGTGCGGCAGGACGAGGTAGACGACAGTGTTCGTAGACGTCTTGGCTGTCTCGAGAAGCGCCGAGTCTGCGATGACCCGATCGGTCAGCAAAGCCCTGCTGATACGGATCGAGGCGCGAACGCACAGAGAACCTTCAACTCCTCGCGACTGTGCGAGTCCGACAGCGCGCCGGGCGAGAGAGCGAAGAAACCGCCTGGCATGGCCTGCTCGGTTGACTTGCTGCCCAGCACATGCTCGCCAAGCCGTAAGCCCTGCGGAACCCAGGCGTGTTAGTTTAGTTTATGAAGGGCAAGAGCTGGACCGACCTGGTAAGCTGCGCTCATGAGCTTGGCCCACTCTTCCACACATGCTCGAACCTCCGCCCCTCCGTCCTCGAACACGACGAAAGCGGTCACATCCTTCGATCCGGTCAACGGCTCGAAGCCCATCGGTCGCCAAAAGTCGACGGCCGTCCAAGTGGTTGACGCGATAGAACGCTGGATGCGCAGCTGGAAGGTGATCGAGGGCGCGTCCGAAAGAACTGGGAGTGCAGCTTGATCGTCGAAGAGCGGTGACGGTCCGAGACTTGCGCAACTCGTGCCCATGAACCTTGCGACAGCGGCGATAGAGTCGAGCGAGACTGCGCAGACGAAACGGTCAGTATCTTGCGGCGCTATCGGCGGGGATGAGCGTACCCAAACCAGCATCCTTCGCGCACGCGAGTTTGACGGGCTCGCGAAACTCGCTGTTGATAACCACTTGCTCGGCGACGAGCGCGTAGATGAGCTCCCGAGCTGAATCAGCCGCTGCCAGCGGCGCATTCCGCCTCGTTTCCGTAGTGAGCCGCTTCTGGCGTCGGACTGCTCCAGGGTCGACGAGAAGAGCCGCATGGCACGACGACTTCAACGCTTCAGCCTCCGTAGTCGAGTCGCTGTCTTCGACGCCCGATTCGGTGCTGCCAGTGTCCCCGTCGCCGCCGTCTACGTCCATCGCGTCCTCCGAATCGGAGTCGACGTCCGGCAGATCGACGTCCGCCGACTCAAGCGCGAGGGACGAAGGAGTAGCTCCGTCGCCCGCGACCGAGACGAACGGATTGGCGGGCAGGCGGCGGGTCCATGGTCGACCTGCTGGATCCGACGGTTTGGCAGTCGATTTCGGGCGGCGCAAACGCTGCGCCATGAGATAGCGAGGATCACAGATCGCTTGATACCAGAGACGAAGCTGTCCTTCTTCATCCTCGACCAGTCGAGCGGCCCGGCCCTCGTTGTCAGAGTCTGGACTTGGCAGGCCGAACTTGCCCTTGCGCGGATCGTACTTGTCGTCCGACGACGATGTTGCGAAGGCGAGAGGTTGAAAGCTGCCGAGCTGGCCCAGCGAGCTGAGCCCGCGCTGCGTCGGTGCGAATGTTGCGGCGGCCTGAGCGAGGAGCGGAGAGTACGAGATAACGGCTGGAGATGTCGTCGAGACGGGCGTTGTGATCGACACGTCGTGCAGTGACGGCGGCAGATGCGCGAGGGGATCGAAGACTGCGGCTGATGGCGTCGGCGCATGCGGTGAAGGCGCAGCGAGGCCGAGGGCGTTGGGCGTCAGAGAGTCCAGGGCTCCGAAGGGAAAGATCGTGGCGGGAGACTGCTGTAGGAAGTGAGGTAACGTCCCGGAGCCGAAGACGCCGTCTGAAGTGAAGGGAAGGGATGTCGGCGCGGCTGCAGGGAAGTGCGTCGGTGCAACCGAGAAAAGGTCGAATCCGGAGTCGATTCCTGCGACGTTCGGCAAGGCGGAAAACGACTGGTCGCCCACAGCGGTTGACGCAGGTGCGGTCATGGACAGGCCGATCGACGTTGCGAGGGCGGAAGCGCCGGGAGCAGGCGTCGGAGCGTCGAAGAAGGAGAAATCGTCGTCGGTGAGACCCAGGATTCCACCGTCATCGTACCCGCGGTCGTGACCCTCGTCGCGCCCGCCTCGACCCGTCCCGCTCGTGCCGAACGTCCCATCGCCCCAGTCAAACTCCGAGAAGGCGGCATCGAGTGCTGACATGGGTGCAGAAGATGCAGGTTGGACGGAAGTGGAGGCGGACGGGCCAGGTTCTGCTGGGGACGGGTAGACGTCCGCGCCGCCGAAGTCGATCTCCATGGCGTGAGGTCCAGAGCCTGCCTGTGCCTCGGCGGTCGATGCGTGCACTGCGGAGTCCGAGGCACCGGCAGGACCTATCGAAGGCTGGTACAGCTCAGCAGGACTGGGCGCTTCAGTCGATGAAGTTCCGAGGCTCATTGGCGTGCGCATGTTGATCGGCGCGGCCGCACCAGTCGGAGCTGCAGTCGGCGCAGCGCCTTTGCCCTTCTCCTGCTTGATGTGTTCAGCGCGTTCCTGTTCCTCCCGCTCCTTGCGCTGTCTCTCCTCCTCCCGCTCTTCTTCCCGCCTCGCGCCCTCGTCGCCTATCCAGCTCCACACGCTGCCGGTCCGACTCTTGACGACATTCGGACCGTCTCCTGCTCCCGTCCGCACCACAACAGTCTGCTCGCCCTCAGTCGCGCTGGGCCGGCGCGAAGGCGCGGCTGACTTCGCTGCGAGAGCACGATCGGCGAAACTCCGCCGCTTCAAGGACGAGTCGGCTCGACGAACGAGCTGAGGAGAAGCTCGGACTGGGCAGTTCTCCTTCTCCTTCGCAAACCGGATTTCGCCAGACTTGCTGGGCGCGTGCGCTTCGTGCGGCGCCGCAGGACTAGCCTGCTGTGGCGCTTGGCCGCCATGCGAAGCCGACCTACGCGATTCGTCGACGATGACGAGCGCTCGAGGCCAGACGATCTCGATGCGGTCTTCAGCGCTAGGCGAGTCGGGCAAGTCGAGCGCGCAGAGGAGGTAGTCGTTCCGCTCGTCCTCGGGTATGTAAGCTCGGTCGAGCTCAGTGCGCCAATCTGACGAGAGGCGAGCGACTTGAGCGAATGAGAGGCGGGCGAGAGGTCGGACGAGCGTGGCGGGGATGTCGGCAGGTGCGAGGACGACAGGCGTGTCGGGCGATAAGTCGGATGTAGATGCAGTGAAGGAGAGCTCCGAGACGGAGGAGAGCACAAAGATGGCGGACTGATTGAGAGAGGGAGGCGGGATCGAGACTTTTATGGCGGCAGGTCGGGCGAGCGAAAGGGCTGGTTCCTTCGGCGCCGTTGGAGGTGGTCGAGGTAAGTAGACGACTGAGTCGCCGATGCGAAGTGGTCGGGTCTCGAGCGCGCCGAGCTGTACCAGCTCGTCGAGGAGGAGGGAAGAGATTGTCGATCGAAAGGCGGAGTACGCAGCTTGCTTCGCGGTCAACGACGGCAAGGGCGTGGCAGCGGAGGGTACGGTGTAAATCTGAGCGGAGAGGGCGAGCGCTGAAGGGTACGAACGGGCCGGGAGGGAGAGAGGCGGGGTGAAGGACGGTGTCGCAGAGGATGTCGAGGCGTACAGGTCGGGAAACAGGCTGGCGTGCGTCAGCTCCCCCGATGCAAAAGCTGCAATCAAGGCAACATCAGCAGGCTGCGTGAGGCCGGCGAGGACGGCACAGTACGTACCTTCCAATCCCTCGAAAGACATGCCATCGAGATCTGCCGCTGCCTCCTTCCCATCGTCAAAGCCGACCGAGTCCGGTCCGCGCACGACGCAGAAGACCCACAGTAGCCGCCCTTCTCCTTCAGCCGCATCAACAAGGTCCTCCTTCTCCTGCTCCTTCCGCATCCCCTTCGCCTCCTCAGCCTCCTTCCCCTTGCCCTTCCCGCCATCCTCCGCCTCCTCAGCACGACCGAGACGGACTGATTTCCGCTCAGTGAGCCATAGCAAGCCCATCCGGTCCTTCCCCTCATCCGTTCGAGCCTTCTCCCGTCGCCGCAAGTCGCGCTCAGCACGGAGGATCGGGTCGTTGGCGAGGAAGTCGGAAGAGGAGAGGGGCGCGAGGCGGTTTCGCAGTGCTTGAGTGGAAGATGAGGAGTCGGTCGGTGCGGAAGGAGGGGAGGCGAGGTGGTCAACGACTGGGGCGTCGGTAGATGCGGGCGGGGGAGTCGGTGCGGCAGGCGCAGACGCAGCAGCTGCAGCGGCGGCAGCAGCAGCTTGCGCCTTCTTGAGTGCCGCTGGTACGCGGTGAGTCGTACCGGACGACGAAGTCGAAGTCTGCATGGGCGAAGCCGGAAGACTCGGCGTTGTCGCGCCTAAGAATGGCGCGGATGCCGAGAGACTCGGCGAGGGTATGGAAGAAGAGGTCGAGGTACCGAGTTCTTCGGCTATCAGGTCGTCGAACGCGTTGACGCCTTTCGAAGTCGTGTTCATGGCAGACGAGCGTCGCTTCGCCTTTTTCGGTGCGGGAGGTCCGCTCGCGTCCGCCTCCTTGTCCTTCGCAGGCCGCTTGCCGCTTGACGAAGACGACGCCGAGATGGGGAAGGGCGAGATGGTGTCAAGCGGCGGGCGGACCGGGTCGTAGTCCATCCTGCCCTCCTTCGAACCCTCTCCCTCGACAAACAGCGCCGGCCCTTTCCACGCGCGGTACTTGACGACCCATCCCTCGCCGAGTTCGATTAGTTGCGCGTTCGTTCGAGCCTGAGAAGCCGAAACACGAGGTCGGATGGTGGCGAAAGGGTTCGAACTCGAGGCGGAGGGGTCGGACGAGGAGGCGAAAGACGACGTCGAGGCAAAGGTTCCAGCCTTGGGAGACCCGGAAGGCCCTGCCAGACTACTCGCCGTCCCAGGCGAGCCGTACAACCCTCCCGCGCTCGCTGGACCCGCAGAGTAGCCGGCTGAGAGACCCGACTTGGATGAGGTGGGGTGAGTGGGAGTTGCGACGAACGCCGGGCGAGCGGGAAGGGTCAAGGGCGTTGCTGGAGAGCTTGGGTGAGATCCTCCGCCTGTCTCTGCGCCCTGCCCACCCGTCCCCGCTAAGCCTCCGGTCCTCGAAGGTGCGGAGGAAAGCGTGGTCGCTGGCCGCGGCGGCAGCGACGGGTGAAGCGGTGGCGGTCTGGACATCTTTGATGGGCGTTTCCTGGTCGTCTACAGTCGAGAAAGGCGAGCCGGGAGCATTGTGTGTGCGGGTTCAGCGCTTCGCGGTTATCGGTCGAGGAGTGTGCTGGCTGGAGGGTTCGCCCGGGGTCAGCGCAAGTTCGTAGTCTTTCACAGTGACGCTGCGGAGCTTACTGATGCGCTCGAAGCCAGTACCAGCTTGCGAGGGAGCAGATGAAGCGGCACGAGACCTTATTCACTCGTCCCGGCCCACGTCCGCGAGCTCCTCGGTCTCTCGTTGCCCAAATGGCGAGCTGTGCCTCGTCAATCTCGTCTGGAAGAAACACTTCTCGAGACAAGCGGCGCGGGAGAAAGAGACTCGAGTTAGATTCGTTGTTCTACTCCTGTCGCTCCGTGTCCTCGACCGCCTCCAGGAATCCCTCCCACGCCTTGTCCTCGATAGGGTACGTGTGCTCTCCCTCGGTCGGGAACACTCTCCGCCTGACCTCGTCTACATACGACCGGACCGCCTCCCTCGCCCTCTCGCCGACATCCGCATACTTCTTGAGGAACCGCGGACCCTTGCCGCCTGCGCCCAGGTCCGAGTCGACGCCGAGCATGTCGGATTGGACAAGCACCTGGCCGTCGCAGCCCGCTCCTGCGCCGATGCCGATTGTCGGGATCCGCAGGCGCTCTGTTACCCACGCCGCGAGCTTCGACGGCACAGCCTCGAGGACGACCGCAAACGCTCCAGCGTCCTGGACCGCCCGAGCGTCCTCCCAGACTTTGACGGCGCTGCTGACCGTCTTGCCCTGGACGCGGTAGCCGCTCAGCGCAGCCTGGCGCTGCGGCGTGAGCCCGACATGCGCCATGACCGGTATACCGACCTCTGTGAGGCGGCGGACGAGAGGGACAATCTCGGGCCCGCCTTCGATCTTGACCGCATCCATGTGGCCCTCCTGGATGAGGCGGACGGCCGCGCGAACGCCATCCTCGACCGAGGCGGAAAAGGAGCCAAAAGGCAAGTCGGCGACGAGGAAAGAGGTCGTGCACCCGCGCGCGACGGAGCGGCAGTGGTAGAGCATCTCGTCGAGGGTGAGGTAGTTGGTCGAAGGGTAGCCGCATGCGACCATGGCGAGCGAGTCGCCTACGAGGGCGATGTCGATGCCGCGGGGTGCAGGAGAGGTGGAAGAGCCTGCTGAGGCTGGGGAGGAACCGGGAGCGGGTGCGGGAGGAGCGATAGATTCGATAAACCGAGCAGACGGGTAGTCGTGCGCCGTCAACATGGTGATGGGGACCTTCTTCTTCTTGAGGTTGTTGAAGTCCATGATCGTGCGCTTCCTGCGCGGTGCGAAGGCGCCTGCGCCTGGTGAGCGGGAACCCGCCCACAGGTGAGGTCAGCGAGTCGAACGAGAAGAGGGAAGCGGGAGTGCGCACCTGGTCGTTCGGTCGGATACGAGCTGTACGTTCTCCTTTGTCCCCTGCAGCATGCACACGCGTGTCCTACAGCCCTCTGCCCCCCAGTGAACGCTCGAGTCGGCATCGCTCGAGCCGGAGGGAGCAAGCGAGACGACGAGGCGACAGGCGCAGCCCAGTCGCTCGCAGTGCGCACGGCGTGCGTGAAAGAGCGTGCGACAGATCCTGTGCTCATGTCCAGCGAGAGTCTGGCTCGAACAGCGGTGTTGGCGAGAGCGAGAGTGAGCCGGTCGAGGGAAAGAAGTTGGCGAAGAGGTTCGCTCCACTCCATCAGCTGCTGGAAGCGCTGCGACTGCTTGGAAGCGCTTTTTAGACTCGTCTGTATCCACCAAGCGTGCTCGCCCAACTCCCGACTCGGCCCATCCTTCCACCGCACCTCTCGCCCATCCTCATCGCTTTCGACAAACCGATGCACTCGACTCGCCTGATTCGTAACGTGGTGAGGTCTGTGAGGACGGGAGCAGGCCGCATAAGGACATTGGGATCGGCCGGAGCTATTCGTACCAACTCCAGCTTCACCCGCCCTCCTGCACCTCCTGCGAATGTCCCTCGACCCTCTGTCAAACCGGTCGGCGAGATCCGTCCTGACCCGCCGAAGCCTCAGCCGGCTCCTGCGGCCACTCAGACGACCTCCACCGCCCCAGATCGACCAGCTCCGACGGAACTGCTGACGGTTCTGCAGGAGACGATCAAGGTGCGTCCCGTTTCGTCTCCATCCATCGTCACGAGACTGATCTTACCCGCTCAAACAGACACACGGCCCTCTCCCGGTATCGCGTTACATGACGCTCTGCCTGAACCACCCAACTCTCGGCTACTACACCACTCGAAAGGTCTTCGGCAAGGAGGGAGATTTCGTCACGTCGCCCGAGATCTCGCAGGTGTTCGGCGAGGTGCGTTAGACGTTTAGATGCGGTCTTCGAGGCGATTGCTTCGTACGCTGCGGCGTCGCTTACATTGAACTTTTCGGCAGCTCTTGGGCATTTGGTTCGTCACACAGTGGCTCGCTCAGGGTGCGCCTCAGAGCGTTCGCATCATCGAGCTGGGCCCGGGTCGAGGAACGCTGCTAGCCGACGTCCTGCGAGTGCGTCCCTTCCTTCCTCCACCTTGACCGCGGTCATGCTGACTACTTCCTTCACAGACATTCCGCTCTCTCCCACCCAACTCTCGTCCACCCATTACCTCCATTCACCTCGTTGAAGCAAGCGAGCAACTCCAGCGTGTGCAGAAGCAGAAGTTGGCAGAGGCGGGCTTTGGAGAGACGGAGACGAGGTGGTATGGCGATGTTAAGGAGATGCCCGAGTGTGCGTACCTAGCCTTCCGTCCCTATGGGCGGACGGAAGTTGACTACCTGTTCATCTCGCAGCGGAGGACGAGTTCACGGTACTCATCGCACACGAGTTCTTCGATGCGCTGCCTATCCACATCTTTGAGGTGCGCAAGCCTCGCCCAGCCCGTGCGTGTCGTGACCCTACTGACTAGGCTCCTATCTACAGAACACCCAAAACGGCTGGCGGGAAGTGCTCATCGACATTTCCGACCCGAAAGCGATTGCGTGCGTGACCCTCGTCTCGCGTCCCAAAAGCCGTCCCTGACTTTCACCTCCTCTGCAGCGCCAACCCCGCCAAAGCCGAACCTCTCCGCCTCGTCCTCGCGCCAAACGCCACTCCCGCTTCCGCTCTTTACACCTCCCTCGCACAAGCAATTTACCCTTCCGCACAACGCCAGCCCGACCTCGCTTCCGCCGCGCCTGCAACCAAGTCTCCCCTGCTGAACGTCGACACGACTCTCGGCGCTTCCTCTGCTCCTCATACCACACCCGCCGGCAAAGAAGGCTCCCTCATCGCGCAACGCTTCGCCCGTCTCCCAATCGGCTCGAGACTGGAAGTCAGCCCGTCTAGCTGGGAGATTGCGAGGGATCTGGCGAGGGTTGTGGCGGGACCGGAGGGCGGGAGAGGAGGTGCGGGACTGGTGGTGGATTATGGAGATGCGAAGGCGTTTGGCAGGAGCTGGAGGGTGAGTCGGCGGCGCTCAATCGGCTTGCGTTCCCTCATGCAAGAAGCTGATGTTGAAGGATGCCCCGTACCCGTGCGCGCAGGGATTCCGGAAACACCAAGTTGTCGACCCGCTCACCGAGCCGGGCCATACCGACTTGACCGCGAACGTCGACTTTGCCTACCTTTCCGAAGCAATGTCCGAGTTCGGCAAGCCACAGTCCCTCGTGCACAGCGCTTCCTCCGCTGACCATCCTCTCTCCCGCAGCTGAGACCCCCGGCCCGCTCTCCCAGCGCACCTTCCTCAGCGCCCTCGGCCTCGAGCCTCGCCTCGCCTCCCTCCTTCGCAACGCAACCTCCGAAGAACGACGAAACGAGATTGCGAGCGCAGCAAAGCGATTGGTCGACAAGGCGGGAATGGGCGAGCAGTACAAGTTCCTTGCGGTTGTCCCGAAGGGGAAGACGCAGGCTGAGGGGGTGTATCCGTTTGATGTCAAGTAGAGACGCATTTGCATTGCCGACTAGAGAATCACAATGACGAGGATGGGGTGGACAGCGGACACTACTGAGGAGAACGATAGCGACGAGGTGAGGCGGACCTCCGCCTTGACCGACTGCTCGAGTCGTTATGGCGCGCCTCAGTGCTCTGTCGTCGCCGTCGCTCGTCCCGGAGGTCGGGCGGAAGTCCCGGACCGGCATCCTCGTCCTCGCTGGATCCGCTCCTTCCGCTTGACCGCCGGTCTCGACGAAACCGCTCCTCTCCCTCTTCATGTCTGCTCCTGATCCGCTCTCCATCTCGTCGATTCGCCTCATCACGGGGACCTGCAACACTCGTCCGGCCCGCCGCGACCAGCGCCATCTTCTCCCTCTCCTCCTTGGCCTTCTTCCGCCCATGCCGCAACTTCTTCGCACACTCCCTACACAGTACAACCTTGACCAACGTAGTCTTCTTCACCCCTCCCTCGAGGTATCCGAACGGCATTTCGAGCTCCTCTAGGGTAGTCTCGACGAGCGGAGCGGTTGATTCGGGGTCGGGAGGAACGTCCGGGTCTTCGAGAGAGGCAAGCATGGAGGGCGAGGGCTCGTGGTAGCGACAACGGAGGGAACCGCAGGTGAGGTGACCAATGCCGGAGAGGACTTCGTCTTCGGTGCGCCAGCGGAGGGCGATCTGCGCGACAGGGCGGGTAAGCGAGAGAGGAGAAGAAGAGCAGGGAGTGGGCGCACTGCGCCTGACTTGTAGTGCTTCAAGTTGACAACTGCAAACTCTTTGAAGAGAGTCTCGTCTGTGGGAGAGCGGTTGAGAGTGAGCCAGCGAAAAGACAAAAAGCGAAAAGTGTCAAACGCACAGTACTTGTAGGCGAGCTGGTCCTCCCACGTCAGTGCCGCAGGATCGACGTCGCTATCCCTCACGAATCTGTAAGATCGGAACGAATAGGTCGGGACGAGCTGAAGTTGACACGAGTGAGGAGAACGTACTGGTGCCGCTCCTTCAGGATCTCCAGCTCGTGCTTCGACTGCGGCTTAGGCGGTACTCGCCCACGCTCGTACGACTGCTTCAGGCGGAACAGGCGCTGGTGTCGCTCGTGAGCGGTCTCGGGAGCGAGTGTTTCGACTCGGCGCCGCTTCGAGGCTGTCTCGTCGCTTGGACCGGCGCGAGACGAACTGGAGCGGTAGCCACGGTCCATCTGAGAGTAGCGCAAGCTCAAACAGGCAGCAAAAGACGAGAGCGGTGACAGTGACGGGGTCAACCTGAGAGAGAGGGGGCCCTCGAGGGTTGGAAGGCCACGACACGCAACAATGGGAGGATCAGGAGGCTACCGTGCGTGCAGTGCTCTCGGACACACTCTAGCGACTGTACTGACCTATTCTGCACGCCCGCAGACCCTGTCAAGGTGCGCTTCGCCGCCCCCGCTCACATCGCCCTCCGGCTGGCACAACTCGACACACTCGCTGACTGGGTGCATGGACACGCTCGCAGATTGACCCGGGAGTGGAGGCGTTTGCCTACATGGTGCGTCTGACCCGCTTGCTCGCCGTTGTCGCCCGCAAGCTGACCTTCGGCGAGTCGACCTCATCGCTCGTTCGTTCTCTCGCTCGCAGAGGGAGAATGTGTGGCAGCACTTCCGCTTCACGAACCGAACGACCCGCCTCGCCGTCATCTGGGGTGTCGTTTTCCCGTCGCTCGTCTTCGCCGTCTCCTACCAACAAGACGTGCGTCCGACTTCCCCCTCTCGCCGACGGTTTACTCACTCGTTGTGCTCCTGCAGCTCAAGTGGGATCTCCTCGGCGCACGACGGGACGACCCTATCGCACGATTTGGCAAGTATTCGCAGAAGCCGAGCGAGCGGGCGGCAGCAGCGGCGCCGGCGGACGAGGAGTAATTTGTCGACCATGGGCGGTTGTGCGGGCGGAAGCGGTTGCAGTGCATCATTCTCTTTTCATGTTCCTTCGTTGATGCTCGCTTCGCGTGGCCAGCGTTCCGCCAGCTGTCCCTGTTCCGCCGCCGATTCGCCTTCCCTTCCTTCGCCAGCCTCCCCTTCCCCTTCCGTCGATCTCGTCCAGCCCGCTTGATTCGGCCGCGCTGGCACCGTACGACAAGCGCAGGCTTGGCTGTAGCTGCGCAGACTTGCCTGCCATCTGCCCGGCGACGGCAAGGCACCCCTTGCCTCGTCGAGGGTCGATCTGAGGAAGAGATGATGGCTTCCGCGCGTCCGGCTGCGTCGCACGACTCGCTCAGCTCGCCGACACCTTGATTGAATCGGTCAGCGTCCGCCGCCGATCCGCGCGACTTAGTAGCTCGCCCCGTCCCCGTCACTCCGTCTGCTCATCTCTCATCTCTTTTGCGCTCGTTCACGCGTCCGCCTTCTTCCTAACTCTCTGTGATGGCCGCCGCTGCTGTTCTGAAGGCCAGGGACGACATTCGTCAGGTGCGTTTCGTCCCTGCGCGTCGGTTAGACGTCCAGATCTGACAAACAATACTGTCACAGCCGGTCGAAGCAATCGCTCCGACGCCTCGTCGCCGCGCCGACGCCGCAGACTGGGCGCCTCTCTCTCGACGCACGCTCTCAGCCCAGCTTACTCACCTCCCCGCCGTTTCCGAACACTCGACCTCGAAGACCTCGCACCCGAACCCGACTCCGCTCCGCTCGTCAATCGCTTTCTCCCTCTCGCGCCTGCTCTCGCCTACGACCTTCGCGGAGTATATCTCGAGCGCGGGCGGCTTCGAGACCTTCCAGGACTACCTCACCGCCTTCTCATCGCCTTACCTCGCCTCGCTGCACCTCTGGCGGGACCTGCACCAGCTCCGTTGCCTTACTGCCGAAGCGAGCGCGGGCGCAAGGGGCGTGAGGGACGTTTTCTTGACGCCTGGAGCAGAGCGCGACGTCGACTTGGAGAACGTCGAGCTGAGGGCGGCAGTTCAGGGTCTGCGCAAGATCATCGACACACGGAACGCGGTCGACCAGACCAGTCAGAAGCTGCTGGAACGTCTGTATGCCAGCGAGTTCGAAGTGCGTCCACCCATTCCGTCTTTTTCATGAGCCTCGCTGACTCCCTCGCTTCTGCCAGGCGTTCGTCAAGCACCGACTGCTCTCGCATGCCAAGCAGCATCTTGAGAAGCGCAAGCTAGGCGCGGACAACGTCCCTGGACTGTACGTCAAGCGTCCCTTCCGAAGCTTGTGGCTTACTGATCCGCCTCTTTTGCAGCGGCGAATCCTTCGTCCTCTCCAACCCTCGCCTGCACGACTGCCCGATCGTTCTCGCCTCGCCCGCCTTCTGCACCTTGACCGGCTACTCGCGCGAGGAGATCGTCGGACGAAACTGCCGGTTCTTGCAGGGCGAGGCGACTGCGCCGACGGACGTCTCCGCCATTCGGACTGCAATTGCGGAGCACAAGCGTGAGTTGGGTGTCTCCCTCCCGCTACCTTCCCTCTCTGACGCTTCTCCTGGACTCAGCCATCACGCAACTCCTGCTGAACTACGACAAGGCCGGCAACCCTTTCTTCAACCTTCTCTGTATCCTCCCTCTCTTCGATCCGTCCGGCGAACTCGCCTACTTTGTCGGTGCGGCTCTTTGCTGAAAGCCGTTGCCGAACCGAAGGCTGACTCTCCCTTCCCGCAGGCGGCCAGACGAACATTACCGGCGCACTCACCGCTTCCTCCGGTCTCTCCCTCCTCTCGTCGCGCAAGGACACCTTCGACGCCGACTCGATCTCGCACCTCTCGCTTGATGCTGCCGAGTCTGCTGATGAATGGCTTCCACCCGTCGACCTATCGAAGTTCTCGCCGGGTGTTCAGAACGCCGGAGCGAGGCCTGCCCCGCCGACTCGGACAACGAGCGAAACCTCGACCGTCTCGGGCGACGCTACGCCGCCCCTCGAGCCCGCTTCCTCGCCTGCCTTGCCTTCCAATACGGAAGGCGAAGCGGCCAAGTCGAGCAAGTCGAAGCCCTCGCTCTTCACGAGCCCGTCTTTGAGCCACGTCTTCAAGTTCGGCGGCAACAAGCAAGCACACAGGCGGTCGAGCAGCTTCAACGGTGCGATCGACAACCACCAGAGCCCGAAGATGACGGTGCGCGAGGGTACAGTCGAGGTGAGCATTCTACCTTTGCCACACCTGCGACTCCTGCTGACGACAGCTTTTTCTGCAGCGCCGCATCGACGAGTTTGCAACCACCTATGAGAAGGTCTGCGTCTTCCGCGCGGAGGGCCGCGCTATCCAGCACGTCTCGTCAGCCTTCCTGCGATTCTGCGGTCTGCCCGCTTCGACGCCGGCCGAGATGAACGACTCTCCCCTCCTCGGCCTCGACCTGCTCGACCTCGTCAAGGGCGACTCGACCAGCTCGACAACCGACCTGCGCAAGGCCATCAAGCGGACTGTCGAGGAGGGCAAGCCGGCGAGCCTGGCTTGCGGCGTCAAGGTGCCCGTCAAGTCGGGGTCGATGCCGACCGCTACGGGAGTCCTTCACCTCTCTCCTATGCAAGATTACACGGGCAAGGTGATTGCCTACATCGCGATGTGAGTTTCGCTGCATTCTCCTCGACTCGAGAAGGTCAAGCTGACCTCGACGTTCCTTTCCTCCTTGCCCTCTCTCGCAGATTCGCCTAGATGCCATGGTCAGATCATGTACATATCCGTTTGTCTGTAACCAGTACATACGCTTCTTCCGCCCGCCCGCCTACATTGGTCTGCTCCGCACCTCGCTCAGCGACCCATCCTTTGACCTTCTCGCCTCCCCGTACGGACTATTGCAGTTTATCGTGTCGCTGATACCCTGCAGGCGCTGCACCGAGCCCTTTCACGTCTTTGCTGCACCCGAGTGCCATTGCCCCGCCCTCGCTCCCTCCTCTTACCTTCCGTCCTCCCACCCACCCGCTTCGCCTGGCACGATGGAGGGTGCAAAGCACACTGACTACGCTGCGCAGCCCTCCGGCGGAACCACCGCTGCCGCCCAGCGCCCGTGAGCTTCCCGCTCGCCTCATCGCTCCCGCTGACACTGAAACTCCCGCCTCGTCTCTCTCCGCGCAGGGACGGCCCGCGCAGCACCGGCTACGACCCTCAGAGTAGCGGGCAGCAAGTCTCGCGCTCGCACACCGGCAAGAAGACGGGTGAGTCGAGACGTCCGCGTCGGCCAAAGTCCTCCTCTCGCTGACAGAAGTCGATCGACCCGCAGAGTTCCCGTTCCGCGAGAAGCAGACGATGGCCAACGAGAGCGACACGACGTCGGCCAGCGACTGGGCTCCGCAAGCTCCGCCGCCGATGCACCTCCCCGCGACCAACCTCCCCTTCCTCCCCGAGACGACTCCCGAGACTCGCCACATCAAAGGGACGACTTCGAAGCCGTACAACGTTCCTTTGACGCCGATGCAAGCGAGCATCTCGTACTCGCTCTCCCGCGTGTTGTCATTGCCTCGCTTTGCCGCCTTCCTCGACACGCCACAGGGTTTCGCCCAGTTCTCCGCCTACCTTAGCTCGGTCGCTCCGCAAGGTCGTTCGCTCGCTGAGCTCGAGCTCTGGAAGGACACCCGCGTTCTCAAGGACATGCTTCAGCAGGCTGGTCGCGGAGCTGCCGCGATCAACGAGGTCTACTTTCGCCACCCGCACGACGACTTGGTCCCCGACCTCCCGCCCAACGTCAAGCGCAAGTACATTTCGACGCTCAGGAATGCTCGCGGAGGTGCGCTCGGACTCGATGAAGCATCGAAGCACCTCCTCGAGTCGCTCTACCGCAAGGAGTTCGTCGGATTCATCAAGTCCCGCCTCGTCCGCCACACGAAGGAGCAGCTCGCCAAGTATCACCTGCCGCAGGAGGACAGGGGCGGCATCGGGTCCGCGTTCCTCCTCACCAACCCGAGGCTGCCGGACGACCCGATTGTCCTCGTCTCGCCAGGCTTCGAGGAGTTGACGGTGCGTAGGGCACGCTTATGCGAGGTTTAGCAACTGCTTACTCACTGCTCGTACTGCAGGGCTACTCGACGAACCAGATCATTGGTCGCAACTGCCGGTGCGTTGGCCTTCGCAAATGAGGACGACGCATTTTGCTGCCAACACAGGCTCGCTGCCTTCGAGCAACAGCACTGACCGTCACCTCGTTCGTGCCCTCAGCTTCCTCCAGGGTAAGGCGACGGCGCCGGAGGCCGTCAACAGCATTCGCAGCCAGCTCGAGCACACCGACGAGGTCCTCCAGCTCGTGCTGAACTACAGGAGCTCCGGCGCTCCGTTCCTCAACCTCCTCTACATCCTCCCGCTCCGCGACCGCGAGGGCAACATCGCCTACTTCCTCGGCGCCCAAGTCGACCAGACCCGCGCCCTCACGACCGGCACCGACCTCTCGCTCATCTTGCCCGAGGACCAGGACCTCCGCGCCGACATGACTTCGTTCTCACCTGCGGTCCAGGTCGAGGCGCAGGACGTGGCGAAGCGTCCGGTTCCTCCCACGAAGGAGGCGCTCGACGAGGAGATTCCGTTGCCCGAGGGCGAAGGAGACGAGGAAAAGGATCGCTACGAGCAGCGTGGAGGCGACGGAGGAGGCAGGGCGACGTCGGTCGTCCAGGAGGTGAAGGAGGACGTCGGCCTTTCGATTAGGAAGCTCCTCCCTTGCTTCGGCAAGAAGCGCGAGGCTCGCGAAAGGCGCGAGGGCGGCGAGGAAGGGACGCATGACCAACAGGATGAGACGACGACTGCCAGCGAGCCGCGCGCCTCAACGGAAGAGGGACAGCTCGTCCCGCCTCTCCAGAAGGAGTCGAGGAAGGTCTCGCTCGAGCAGCGCATGCTCGACATTCAGGTCACGTACGAGCGCGTCTCGATCGTCAAGCGCACGAGTGCGTCGCGTTTCTACCTCCTCCCGACGCCGCTGACACGGTGATCTCGCAGCGCACGAGATCCTCTTCACGTCGGCCGGCTTCTTGCGCTCGCTTGGCTTGCCCGGCACGACTCGCCAGGAAGTCGACCGTTCCCCTCTCGTCTTCCACAACCTCCTCGACTTGATAGTGGCTCCGTCGGCGCCGAACGCCTCGTCGACCGCGACGAAGGAGCTGAGGGAGTCGGTCAAGGCGGCTTTCGAGCAGGCCAAGACGATGAACCTGATCTGCGGCTTCCTCTACAAACCCGAGTACGTCTCCACGTTTGCTATCATTGTATCGACGAGCTCACGAACTCTCTTTAACAGCGGACCGCAAGCTCCCGTCGCGACCGGCCGTCTTCACCTCTCCCCGCTTCTTGACATGTACCGCGAGTGCGTTGCGATGGTTGCTGTGTGCGTCATTACCTTTCTCTCTCTCTCCTTTTCCTACCGTGCTGATGCCTCGCTCGTTTCGCAGGCTCGGCTAGGTTGGAGAGCCGAAGGAATCGCTTCTCGCTTGTCGCCGCTTGAACGGATGGATCGCTCGCTTGCTTCGGACGGAACAGCTTGCATAGTTGTAGCTTGAGGGAGTAGCTTATCGTACGGTGTAACGCTTGCTTCCACCGTGACGCGAAGCGAGATGAACGACGAGTGGGTATCTACAATGCATGCGAGGGAGGCGAGCGGAAGCACAGAAACGACGAACGACGACACAACTACAAGCGACTCCTTCCAGTTCCTGCCGTTCCTCAGAACACCTGCGGACTGACATCCTGCCAGCCGCCCATTCCCATGCCCATCGACCCGCCGGCTCCTCCGCCAGGTCCGTTCCGGTCCGAGCCTGCTTGAGCGGCTTTTGAGAGGAGCTGGTTCTGGATCGAGACGAGCTGGGAGGTCCAGCGGTCGAGTGACTGATAGCGGCGAGTCTCGAGGGCGGTGCTGCGGGATGTGTCGAGTGTGAGCATCGCCTTGCCGGCGTCAACTCCGCATGCCATGCCGCGTCGGCCGACTGTGAATGGAGAACGGAGGTAACTCACTGCCTGTCGAGATCCAGCCGCCCAGAGACCTGGTCGATCCGCCCTTGCACCTTCTCGTCGAGGATGAGCGAGACGACGATCTCCTCGACCTGCTCGTTCGGGATGCCCAGTTGCTAACGAGTGTGAACCGAGTCAACATCGGTTTACACGGGCTTGGATCGTCAGTCCCGCTCGCAGCGCAAGTTGCGCTCCAAGCCAGACAGCCCACAGTGCGGAAGCTTCGAACTCACCCTCGCGAGGTAGGCAATCTCGATCCTGTTGTAAGGCTTGATGATCTCGAGGATCCACTGCGTCCTCAGTGAACGAAGCACGTCGTCGATGTAGAAGCGGATGAAGGGGTCGTCCATGATCGTCTCTCGGTTCGCTGCGATTACGCGAGCAGGTGAGCAAGAATGTAGGACCGCCAGGAGAGGCAGGCGCACTGCGGAGGATCTTCTCGGCGTCGTGCACGTCGCGGCGCTGGTAGGCAGAGACGAGTGCTTGCATCGCAGCGATCTCGCGGTCGTTCTTGTAACTGCACGACTCGTACGATTCGTGAGCTTCTTCTCACTAACTCACCAAGTACTACTCAGGGTCGAGGCCCAGAGAACCTCGGTGAAAGTCGAACGAAGCCGACACGACTCACGGCTTGGTCTCCTGCGAGTCGAACGGGTCGATCTCGCTCTCGGTCAACATGTGCGCCAACACGAGGTACTTGAGGACCTGAATCCTCTGCGGCGACCCAGCCTCGTCGTACGCCTTGAACGCCTCGAAGAAATCGACTTGGGCTTTCGTCCAGTCCTCTGCCGAGCCGGGGTTAGTGGAGAAGGAGGGAGTGAGGAGCGGGACGCACTTTCGGACATGTACATCTTGCCGCCGCACTCGCGGATCACGCCTTGGATGCGAGGATGCGGGATGGCCGAGCGGACGCGCAGCGACTTCTCGTAGATCTCCTGTAAGCCACGACGTCAAGCTCCACAGTCAGTTATGAGCCAGCTTTGGCCAACTTCCGACAGCCAAGCGACGCCGACGCACCCGCAGCTTCTTGTTGTTCTTCATCTCGCCATACATCTGAATCTCGAGCGCATAGACCTCGAGCTGCGTCGTCCCCTTGGACGAATCGACGTCTGCACCGTCGTCTGTCGGTGCGCATTGGGCGTGGAGCTCGCGGAGGATCTGCGGAGAAGCGAGGTGAGCGAGCGGAGCGGGAAGAGGAGGGCAGGAGACAGACCTTGTTCAGGCGGGCATATTCGTGGCGGTCGAGCCAGAGCTTGGCGAGCTTGAGGTTCGTTTTGGTACTCAAGCGCTGCGCGCGGAACGAAGCAAAGAAAGAAGGAAAGTGACCGCATGAGCAGGCGGCGCACTTTCCCAATCACGATTCGTCGGCACGCACCTCATTCTTCTGCTCCTCGAGCGCCTTCATCGTGACCTCGTAAAACTCCTGCATCTTATCCAGCCCGATCCCCTCCTCAGCACTGACATAATCCAACACGCGGTTGATCGCCTTCTCCGCGACGTTGCGCGTGACCGCCTTCTTCGTGTACGTCAACAGCGTCTTGTAATGCGCGAGAGCCTCGTCGTACCGCCCGAGACGGAAGGTCAGCTTGGTCATCTGCTTGAGCGCCTTGAACCCGAATTCGCCTTGGTCATTCCGGTCGGATTCGTCCTGCATGATTTTCTGGAACGAGGCGAGCGCGACGTCGGGCGTGTCGCGTTGCGCTGCATGTAGCGGTTGTAAAGAAAGGCGGACGAGGGCATCCGGTACAGCAGGAGGAGGATGCGAGGAGAGGACGATGGGTTTTAGCTCGCTCGCACCACTCTGCGTCGGACTCGGGACGCACACTTTGCCGTGTAATACTCGTTCTCGACGTCCACCACATCGTCCTCGTTGTCGGATCCCTCGTACTCGAAGCCGTAGTCCTGCGGGAGTGGGGCAGCGGGTTGAGGGCGGCGACGAGAGGGTGTGCAGGAAGTCAGTCTCGCCATGGACAGTTTCGAGGGCCCACAGGATAGCTCGCAACAGCTTCCACGGGTCCAACGAAGCATGCGAGCGGAGACTGACCTCGTCCTCGTCCATCATCTGTCAAAGCGAGTGGAGCAGTGTCAGCACCTCGTGCGCTCGATTGAGCAAGCTTAGAGACTCACAAACTCGTCGTCCGACATGGTGGGCAGGGTAGCGAGGGCTGGCTCGGATGGAGTGAGCGTGTGAGAGCGAGTCGCGGTGAGAGGGCAAGAGAGGAGGAGCAGAGTGTCCGCTGCGCCTCACTCGCCGCTTCTTTGACTCGCTGAAGCTGCTTGAATTCATCTTCAGACTGCTCACAATTCGCTGGCCTACCCTTCAGAGAGAAGTGACAAGTCGAAGTGGACAGGGGTCCGTCGCTGTTCTCTCCTCCTCCCTCCTTCCCTCCTTCCCTCGCCACAAGTGCCCGCTCTTATTTGCCCAGCATTACTGCGACCAACAGGCTCTCTGCTCGCATCCAGACCGCTTCATTTAACGCCGTCATTTTCCCCCTGTGACGGCGCCGGGTTGCTCTCGCTTCCCTGCGAGGTCAAGGGGAAGCGACTCGCTCGCCGTCCTCACACCGCTTCGCCTGCCTCGCTCGCGTGTCCAACCGCGCTGAACTGGCTGCCACGCCGCGCCGAGCCATGCGGGACCCGCCCGCAGCGTCCACGGGCAGCGCTCGCCTCGATAAACCCGATCGAGCAGCCGATGGAACTCGAAGTGTCGTGCCGCCCTCGCTCGCAGACTATCTCGACGACTTGCCGCTGCCAGCATGCGTCTTTGCCCACTCGACCTTCACCCGAGACGCGATCGCCCCGCCCGCGTACCAGAACCTCGCCTTCGAAGCCCTCCTCGCCCAGGGCAAGGTCTTGTCGGACGACACAACGCTCCCTCACCCTTTGAACGACATCGAGCGCACCCTCCTCGACGTAATCGACGAGCCAAGTTTTGCTCAACTCCGGCAATGGCTTCTCGAAGGCGTCGCGACCTTCCCCTCCTCATCGTCCTCTCCTCGTAAACGCCCTCGCCAGTCCTCGCAACGCCATATCGCCCTCCAGCTCGACGAGAACATCTCCTTCCCCAAGCTGCGATGGCGGGCTTCCGTCAGGGATGGGTACACCGTCTTGACGCACTTGCCTGCCGTCGAGTTGGTTCACGGAGGAGGCGTCAAGTCGGCGGCTGTTCAGGAGGAAAGGACAGGACGAGCTGGAGTGGTACGGTTGGGCGAGCTGGAAGTCTCTGCGGACCGCGTGCGGGACGCGACGAGCCTCGAAGGACTCGCATTCACGCTGTGGCACTCGCCAATCGGCATGTTCCGCGTCAACAAGGACCTCCAAGTCACGCAAGCCAACCCGGCTTGGCGCAAGACGATCGGAATTGGTCCAGGCGAGTCCAACGACTCGTGGGGCAACCGGATCCATCCAGATGATACGGAGCGAGTCTTTGCGCATTACGCAGAAATCGCAGCGACTTCGCCTTTGAGGCGCGACGAGTGCGAGTGGAGGTGGTTGATGGGCGACAAGGAGCAGAATAGGGTGTGCGTGATTGAGCCGGTCATCATCGAGGGCGTGATGGAGGGGTACAGCGGCTACCTCGAGAAGTGAGTCTCGACAATATCCCTCCTTCTACTCAACTCCCTCTCTGACGCCCACTCAACTCGTCTTGCAGCATCGACGAACAAAAAGCCATCGTCTCCGCCTCCCAAGCGCGCGAAGCCCAACTGCAAACCGAACTCGCCATCTTGTCCGACACCTGCGCCGTCGGCCTTTCGCGCCATGCGCTCGACGGGACGTTCTTGAATGTCAACCCGGCTTGGCATGCGATTGTTGGGATGGACCCGGAGGAACCGTTGGAGAATTGGATGAAGAATCTAGTGTGAGTTGCGGTGCTTTTTCGAGTCTGATGGTGATTGAGGGCGTATTGAGGCCCGTCGAGGCTGACTATGAGTGTTGCGCAGACCGGAAGACCACGACCGCGTCATGCAAGCCTGGGCCAAGCCCGTTCTCTTTCCCCAATGCTCTCCCCTCTTTCCCCGCTGACTTGAGCTGTCTTCAGGACGCTCGAGACGCGCGATTCGCTTAGCATCCAGTTCAAGTTCAAGAACGGCCGAGTCTGCCTGACACAGATCACGCCAAACCATCGGGAGAAGGACAAGGCGACTGGCTGGATCGGCAGCACGACCGAGTTCGTCTCCGACTCCCTCTCCTTCGTCTCCTCGCGAGTCGTACGCTGACTCGGGAGCGAAACAGTGTCACTGCCCAAGCCCGCGCAGAAGAAGCGATCCTGAACGTCTCGAAGGAGCGAGAGGCGCGGGCGAAGAAGGAGGCGGAGGAGGCGGAGCAGCGCAGACGGATTGCGGTCGAGGAGAAGCGCCAGCAGGAGCTGTTGATTGATGTCACGAGTCACGAGATTCGGAATCCGGTGCGTTTCGTTCGCTTGGTCGGTTGAAGAGATAGGCAGACTGACAGGATTTCGTCGCGCGCGCAGATCAGCGCCATCCTGCAGAACAGCGACTTCACTCGTTCCTCTCTCCAGAAGCTACGTGACACCCTCGTCGTCCTCCAACAACGCAACGCGCTCCCCTCCGAACTCGCCGGCTCCGCCCTAAACGACCTCGACGAAGACATCGAAGCGCTCGATGCCATCACCGAGTGCGGAATGGCGCAGGAACGGATCGCGAACGATATCCTCGGCCTCGCGCAGATCCAGCTCAGCAAATACAATATCGCACCGATCGAGTTCGACTTGACCACGAGCTTGCGCAACATCTGCCGAATGTTCAAGGTGTGTCGTCCGCTTACCCTCGTACCCATCAGCTGCTCACGCACTTTCACGCAGAATGAGTGCCGGACGAAGGATATCGAGCTGAACTTGATCATCGGCTCGTCTCTCGCTCGTCTCGGTCCGAAAGCTCGCGTCTTTGCCGACCCAGGTGCGTCACGCTCTCGGATACTGTCTCGACCTACGCTCATCCGAGTCCTCGATTGCAGCCCGCCTCACGCAAATCATTGTCAACCTCCTCTCCAACGCCATCCGCTTCACCGCCAAATCCTCAAGCCGCATCGTCACCCTCTCCGTCGAGCTCTCTTCCACCCGACCCGCCGACGACGCACCCATCGTGCCTCCGAAAGGCGAAGACGATGTACGGCGAATCGAAGCTGGTCAACCGATTTTCTTGCTTTTCTCGGTCGAAGATACGGGTCCGGGGATGACGAAGGAGGAGACGAGTCGGTTGTTTGCGAAGTTTATGCAGTGAGTTAAGGGTGACGCCATTTCCCACGCTCTCCCACTCACGCTCACCGCGGTGCAGGGCGTCGCCGTTCACGCACACGACTTGGGGAGGGTCGGGACTCGGCTTGTGGATTGCTCGCAGTCTGTCTCGCTCGTCTTTCTGAATCGTTGCTCCAGCAGCTGACAGACCTTTTCCGTAGATCTATGCGAACTCCAAGCCGGCCGCATTGAAGTGGCCTCGACAGTCGGCAAAGGCTCGATTTTCCGCTGCTTCATCACCGCGCGCGCGGTCGACAACCCCGATGCGTTCCGAGACCAGCAGGCGTCGTTCTCGGAGGGCTATGGTGGGCCTGTTGGAGGATTGAAGATGACTGTTGGACAGAGGGGAGGGGAGGATGCGCCGTTGAAGGGGATGACGGTCTTGTGTTGCGAGGTGCGTCCGCGCTCATGTGCAGACGAGGTGAAGTTGAGGAAAAATCTGACGCTCTTCGCTCTTGCAGGACAACCAAATCAACCGCACCGTCCTTCGGCGACAGCTCACCAAGGAAGGTTGCGAGGTCCTCCTCGCCTGCGACGGGCAAGAAGGGCTCGACCAGCTGCAGCGTCGTGCGGACGGAACAATCGACTGCGTCTTGATGGACATCGAGGTGCGTCTAACCCGCCTCGACCACCTTGTTTTCCTTGTCTAACTTCCCGTCTTCGCAGATGCCCGTCATGGACGGTCTCGCCGCTACTCGCGCAATCCGACATGCCGAGTCGACTGGCCAGCGACGAGGACACCAGCCCATCATCGGATTGACAGGAAACGCCAGGTCCGGCCAGCGCCAGATTGCGCTCGACGCCGGCATCGACGTTGTCGTCACCAAGCCTTACAAGTGGGTGCTCGACTCTACCTCGTTAGCACAGTACCGCATTGACAATCTTTTGTCTCGCAGGATGCCTGAACTCATCTCGCAGATCCGCTCACTCCTGGCCGGCGCTTCGCCTTCTGCCTCGCCTTGCCACCCTTCGGCACCGCTCCCTCCCATACATGCTCCCGCGCCAGAAACGACTTCGGCCCGCCCAATACCCACGCCCTCCGCCTGACCCGCCAACTTCCCTCTCTATCTCTCGATCTGCACCTAGTAGATATCCCGCACTGCCTGTGTTGTCCTGCTATACCTCCTGCATCGTCGTCGCCGTCGTCGTCGTTTGTCTCGGCCGGCTTGCCTGCTCCGTCCGCGCCGCCGTTCTCCCCGTCAGCAAGCTCTGCTTTCCAAGCTCTCTCGCTCGACTATACACGCCCAATGCTCGCTCACGATGCCTGCTGCACCTGAGCCGTACATCCCAGAAGCTTCGCAAGCACCCGAACGAGGCGCGCGGGTCCCGCCGCTTGTCGACCCGCCCTCACGCGAGTCGGCCACCTCCACCTCGTCCGGGGACACCCACGGCTCGACCGTAGGAGGCGACGATGGGCGCAGCGCTGTAGCCACACTACATGAGGCAGAAGAGGAGGCTGCCGGCGGACCCGGCGGAAGGGACAAGGACCTCGAGAAGGGCGCGACGAAACGGGATAGCAGAGGGTCGTTGTCTGACGGAGGGGTTATCGTGGTTGGCTGGAAGGGCGACGATGACCCAGAGTGTCCGCTGAACTGGCCAAAGTCGCGGAGGATGCTCGCGACGATCTGGTGCGTCTGGCTTCTCCTTCGAAGTGCGCCCGCTAACTCGGTTTTCCAACGCAGTGTCGCCGGCTTTACTCTCCTTGCGTGAGTTTTTGACAGTTCTGCGTGCAAGTGAACTACCTCACGCCGCTTTCCGCTTTCGAGCGGAGAACCGCAGACTAGCGAGGCGAGGAACAGGTCGTCAACGACTCGCTGACCCTCTTTCCCGCTGCGCAGACCTCTCTCCTCCTCAGCAATGGCTCCTGCGGCGCTGCAGGTCGCTCAGAAGCTGCACATCACGAACGAGGTGCGCCGACTTCAGCTTCTTGGTCTCCTTTCCCCCGACTGACGCCCTTCCCTCGCCCGCAGGTGGAGATCCAGATGTCTACCTCGATCTTCGTCCTCGCCTTCGCCATCTCCCCCCTCGTCTTCGGACCCGCCTCCGAGCTCTTCGGCCGCATCCGCGTCCTCCAGCTCGCCAACGTTCTCTACCTGATCTTCAACCTCGTGTGCGCATTCGCAACGACCAAATCGCAATTCATCGCCTTCCGATGTTTCGCCGGCTTCGGAGGAGGAGCACCGTTGGCCATTGGTGCCGGCGTCTTGTCGGATCTTTGGAGGCCGGAGGAGCGAGGGAAGGGCGCAGCGCTTTACAGTCTGGGACCGCTGCTGGGACCAGCGCTGGGACCCGTCATTGGCGGATGGATCGTCCAGTGCTTGCCATACGATGGGTACAAGTGGATCTTCTGGTCGACCACCATCGTGAGTCTCGCCTTCCGCCCTCCTCTCAGCTTGAGCGCGCAAGCCTTTCCTGCGAGGCGTCATACTTCCTCTGTAAACGTCCCTGACCATTCTTTCGCACAGTTCTCCGGCCTCATCCAGCTTCTCGGCCTCATCGGGCTAAGGGAAACCTACAGCCCGATCCTCCTGCGAAAGAAGGCCGCCGCGCTCAAGAAATCGATGGGACTGCCGCGCGACTCCGACCGCGTGCAAACGAGCTACGAAGCCAAGGCCGGCGGGCGGCGGAAGACCCCTCGCGAAGTCGTCCTTCACGGGATGTTGCGCCCGTTCGCCCTTCTCGCCTACGAGCCGATCCTCCAGCTCTTCGCCCTCTACCTCGCCGTCATCTATGGATGCATCTATCTCCTCCTCACGACTATGTCGCAGCTGTACGAAGGGACGTACGGCCAGTCGACGGGAATCGCCTCGCTGCACTACATCGCCCTCGCTCTCGGCTTCATGATCGCTTCGCAAGGCGGTGCACGGTTGCTAGACGTTATTTATCGGCGATTGAAGGCGCGTGAACACGGGCCAGGTCGTCCCGAGTTCCGTCTTCCCCTTGGTACGTCCTCCGCCTTTGGCCTGCGTTTGTGCGTGCTGACCCCTTCGCATCTCCAGTCGTCCCGGCGAGTATTTCGCTTCCCTTCGGGTTGCTCCTGTACGGCTGGTCCGCCGAGCATCGCCTGCACTGGATCGTACCAGGCGAGTCATGTTTCCGCTTCTCCTCCCTCGACTTCCGCTAACCTCGCACTCACCTCGCAGACATCGGCCTCGTATTTATCGGACTCGGCATGATCCTCGTATTCCAAGCATCGACGTCGTACCTCATAGACACATTCAGTACGTTTCCTCTGCTTCGGGCCTGCGAAAAGGCGAGCTGACAGCTCGTTCTGCAGCCCTGCATGCCGCATCCGCCCTCGCCGCATCTGTGTGCTTGCGAAGTATATGTGGCTTCGCCTTCCCGCTCTTCGCGCCTTACAGTACGTCGCTTCGCCGGTCTCGCCTCCGTCACTCGCTGACTTTCTCGATTCCCGCTCGCTCTCCCCACCTTCCCCGTTTCCGCTTGCTCTTCCTCTCCCCGCAGTGTTTAACGGCATCGGCTACGGCTGGGGCTGCACAATCCTCGCTATCGTAACCATCATTGTGGGATGTCCTGCTGTGCGTCTTTCCCTTCCCTCCATTCCTCCTCCCCGACGTCTCCCGCTGACCCTCGTTGCTCTGTGACGTCACGTAGGCGCCTCTGTTGTACATCTTCGGCGAGCGCATCCGCGGCATGAGTCGGAATGCGGCGAAGGGGACGTAGAGGAGCGAGCAGGAGAGAGTTCTTGTATCGCCTTGCACCGGCTTGTTGTAACTCGCTACAATTCCTCGCAGCTTTCTGGTCTTCGCGAGAGTCCCGCTGTCCGCTTTAAGCTTGTCGACGTCGCGACTACTTTGTAATCGTCCCATTACCTCGAGCTTGTAATGTCGCAATACGACTCGCTCGCGCCCCTCCTTCGTCCTCATACCAAGACAGCGTTCTTCGCTGGCCGCTTGTTCCTTCTCTCCTTGCTCTAGACCGCGCCTGCTCTTGCCGTTAAGCCTGCGCGCCTCTCCTTCCAGAGAAACCCCTCCTCTCCCCCTCCACCACCTCATCACCCCGTCCCGACTCTCAACACCCGCCTGATCAGGCTAGAGACACGCCGGCACGGTAGATCGTACCATGGTGGACCGACCTATCGCTTTCCAGGAGCTCTTGCAGGTGCGCTCGCCGTTCTCTCGCTCCTCCAACTCGACACGCGCTCCACCGCCCCGAGACCGAAGCGTTCGCGTCTAACTGAGGGAGGAGAGGCTGACGCGGACTCGTTGTGCAGCTCACGGCGCTCGGTATCCAGCCCGGGTCGATCGGCTTCGCGACGCTCACGCTCGAGTCGGACCGCTTCGTGTGTGTCCGCGAGGAGGTGAATGGCGCCAAGCAGGTCGTGATCATCGACATGCTCGACCCGAACAACGTCGTCCGCCGTCCCATCTCTGCCGAGAGTGCCATCATGCACCTGGACGACAAGGTCATTGCGCTGCGAGGTGAGCAGTCGCCCTCACCGCCTCCTCGGCTCGACTGACCTCCTTCTCTCGACAGCACAACGCCAGCTGCAGATCTTTAGTATCGAGCAGAAGGCCAAGGTTCGCGCGCACCTCATGCACGAGGACGTGACGTTCTGGAAGTGGATCTCGCCGACCACCATCGGCATCGTTACCGAGACGGCCGTCTACCACTGGACCTGCTACGCCCCTTCTTCTCAGCCCGACGCCCAGACCTCCGACACGCCCGTCAAGGTGTTCGACAGGCACGCTTCTCTCGCGGGTAACCAGATAATCAATTATCGGGTTACCCCCGACGAGAAATGGCTCGTCCTCGTCGGCATTAGCTCCAACACGACCAACCCCGCCGGGTTCAAGGTCAAGGGTGCGATGCAGCTCTACTCGAAGGAGCGCGGCGTCTCGCAGCCGATTGAGGGTCACGCGGCGAGCTTTGCGGAGATCAGGTTGGAGGGCGCGAGCGACGACACCAAGCTGTTCACCTTCGCTGTCCGCACGGCTACGGGTGCCAAGGTGAGTCGTGGCGTTCGCTCGAAGGTAGAGTCGTGCTGATGAAGCTCCCCACAGCTTCACGTCGTCGAGATCGACCACCAGGCGAATCTCCCGGCTTACGCCAAGAAGGCTGTCGACGTCTTTTTCCCTCCCGAGGCGACGAACGACTTCCCCGTCGCCATGCAAGTCTCGAAGCGGTACGGCATCGTCTACCTCGTGACGAAGTACGGCTTCATCCACCTGTACGACCTCGAATCCGGCGCGTGCATCTACATGAACCGCATCTCTGGCGAGACGATGTTCACGACGTGCGAGCACCGCGCGACGTCCGGCATCATCGGCATCAACCGCAAGGGCCAGGTCTTGAGCGTTACGGTCGACGAGGAAGTCATGATCCCGTACATCCTCTCGACGCTCAACAACACCGAGCTCGCCATCCGCATCGCCTCTCGCGGCGGCCTCCCCGGCGCCGACGACCTCTTCCAGCGCCAGTTCGCCCAGCTCTTCCAGTCGGGCGACTACTCCGGCGCCGCCAAGGTCGCAGCCGGCTCGCCTCGCGGCATCCTCCGCACGAGCCAGACGATCGACATGTTCAAGGGGGTGCCGGTGCAGCAGGGTCAGCTCAGCCCGATCCTGCAGTACTTTGGCATCCTCCTTGAGCGCGGCAAGCTGAACAAGTACGAGTCGCTCGAGCTGGCCAGGCCGGTGCTCGTCCAGGGACGCAAGCAGCTCCTTGAGAAGTGGCTCAAGGAGGACAAGGTGAGTTGGCGCGTCATCCTCGTAGATCACATCGTTGACTGTTTGCGCCACACAGATCGAATGCAGCGAGGAGCTCGGCGACATCGTTCGCACACACGACATGACCCTCGCCCTTTCCGTCTACCTCCGCGCCAACGTCCCGAACAAGGTCGTCGCCTGCTTCGCCGAGACTGGTCAGTTCGCCAAGATCATCGTCTACGCCAAGCGCGTCGGCTACACGCCCGACTACGCCGCCCTCCTCCAGCATGTCACTCGCCTCAATCCGGAGAACGGTGCCGAGTTTGCGACGCAGCTCGTCAACGACGAGATGGGTCCTCTCGTCGACGTCGAGCGCGTCGTCGACATCTTCATGTCGCAGAATATGATCCAGCAGGCGACGTCGTTCCTTCTCGACGCGCTCAAGGAGAACAAGCCTGAACAGGGACACCTCCAGACTCGCCTCCTCGAGATGAACCTCCTCAACGCGCCTCAGGTCGCCGACGCCATCCTCGGCAACAACATGTTCTCGCACTACGACCGGCCCCGGATTGCCAACCTCTGCGAGAAGGCCGGGTTGCTCCAGCGCGCGCTCGAGCACTACGAGGACATCAACGACATCAAGCGTGTCGTCGTTCACACGAACTTGATCCCGGCTGAGGTCGGCGCCGTTCTTGCTCTGGCGTCGCCGACTCGCACTGACGTTTTGCGTCCCGCAGTACCTCGTCGAGTTCTTCGGCAAGTTGACGGTCGAGCAGACGCTCGAGTGCTTCAACGAGATGTTGAGGGTCAACATCCGCCAGAACCTCCAGGTCGTCGTCCAGGCCGCGACCAAGTACTCCGACCTCATCGGCCCCGTCCGCCTCATTGAGCTCTTCGAGAAGTTCAAGACGGCCGAGGGTCTCTACTACTACCTCGGCTCGATCGTCAACCTCAGCGAGGACTCGGAGGTGCACTTCAAGTACATCCAGGCGGCTACGAGGACGGGCCAGATCCGCGAGGTCGAGCGCATCGTCCGCGAGTCCAACTTCTACAACCCGGAGAAGGTCAAGAACTTCCTCAAGGAGGCCAAGCTTCCCGACCAGCTCCCGCTCATCATTGTCTGCGACCGCTTCGACTTTGTCCACGACCTCGTCCTCTACCTGTACCAGAACGGCATGACCAACTTCATAGAGGTCTACGTTCAGCGCGTCAACTCGGCGCGCACGCCGCAGGTCATCGGCGGCCTCCTCGACGTCGACTGCGACGAGAACACGATCAAGGCCCTCCTCGCGAGCGTCACCGGTCCCGTCCCCGTCGACGAGCTCGTCGACGAGGTCGAGAAGCGCAACCGCCTCAAGCTCATCTTGCCGTACCTCGAGGCCAAGATTGCCGCCGGCCAGCAGGACCCCGCGCTCTACAACGCCCTCGCCAAGATCAAGATCGACTCGAACAACGACCCCGAGTCGTTCCTCAAGGAGAACGGCATCTACGACCCCCTCGTCGTCGGCAAGTACTGCGAGAAGCGCGACCCGTACCTCGCATACATCGCATACGCCAAGGGATTGTGCGACGATGAGCTCATCTCGATCACGAACGACAACCAGGCGAGAATCGCAGCCTTCTGCCTGGCCTCCTTGTCTTGCTGACGCTTGTTCCGCCCGCAGATGTACAAGCACCAAGCTCGCTACCTCGTCAAGCGCCGCCGTCTCGAACTCTGGCAACAGGTCCTCCAGGGCGACAACCTGCACAAGCGCCAGCTCATCGACCAGGTCGTCGCGACCGCCGTCCCCGAGTCCACCGACCCCGAGGACGTCTCGGTCACCGTCAAGGCTTTCCTGTCCGCAGACCTCCCGTCCGAGCTAATCGAGCTCCTCGAGAAGATCGTCCTCGATCAGTCGGCGTTCAGCGACAACGCCAACCTCAAGAAGCTCCTCATGCTCACCGCCATCCGCGCCGACAAGGGCCGCGTCATGGGCTACATCGACAAGGTCGAGGGTTTCGACGTGCAGGAGATCGCCTCGATCATGATCGAGCACGGCCTGTACGAGGAGGCGTTCACGCTCTACCGCAAGAACGGCATGCACCTCGAGGCGACGAACGTGCTGGTCGAGTACATTGTCTCGATCGACCGCGCGCAGCAGTACGCCGACAAGGTCGACCAGCCCGCCGTCTGGTCCCGCCTCGGTAAGGCGCAGCTCGACGGTCTCCGCATCAAGGACGCGATCGACTCGTACATCCGCGCCGAGGACCCCTCGAACTACCTCGAGGTCATCGAGACAGCGTCGCGCGCCGGCAAGAGCGAGGACCTCGTCCGCTACCTCCAGATGGCACGCAAGACGCTCCGCGAGCCGGCCATCGACACCGAGCTCGCCGTCTCGTACGCCAAGACGGACCGCCTCCGCGACATGGAGGACTTCCTCGGCATGACCAACGTCGCCGACCTCCTCTCCGCCGGTGAGAAGGCCTTCGATGCGGGCCTGTACGAGGCCGCCAAGCTCCTCTTCACCAGCATCTCGAACTGGGCCCGCCTCGCGACGACGCTCATCTACCTCGGCGAGAACCAGGCCGCCGTGGACGCCGCCCGCAAGGCCGGCAACACGCAGGTCTGGAAGCAAGTCAACGCGGCGTGCATCGAGAAGAAGGAGTTCCGCCTCGCGCAGATTTGCGGTCTCAACCTGATTGTTCACGCCGAGGAGCTGCAGGCGCTCGTCCGCCTGTACGAGTACCGCGGCTACGTCGACGAGCTCATGGCGCTCCTCGAGGCGGGTCTCGGTCTCGAGCGCGCGCACATGGGCATGTTCACCGAGCTCTCGGTCCTCTACGCGAAGGTGCGCTTTCCGCTCCCGGGCTGTCTCGCTTGCGTGTGCTGACTCGCTGTGCGTCACCACCTGCAGTACAAGCCTGAGCGTCTCATGGAGCACCTCAAGCTCTTCTGGTCCCGCATCAGTGAGTCGAGTTGCTTCTGACGCCTTTGATCTGTCGCTGACTTGCCTCTCCGCCTAGACATCCCGAAGGTCCTCCGCGCCGCCGAGCAGGCTCATCTCTGGCCCGAACTCGTCTTCCTCTACGTCCACTACGACGAGTTCGACAACGCTGCGCTCGCGATGATGGAGCGGTCCGCCGACGCTTGGGAGCACAACCAGTTCAAGGAGGTCGTCGTCAAGGTCGCCAACATCGAGATCTACTACAAGGTGCGTTGCGCTGTCGTTACGCTCGCAATCCTGCTTGCTGACGCGTCTCTCGACAGGCGCTCAACTTCTACCTCGAGCAACAACCCATGCTGCTCAACGACCTCCTCAGCGTCCTCGCGCCCCGGATCGACCACACGCGTGTCGTCAAGATGTTCCAGAAGGCCGACGAGCTGCCGAGTGCGTCGCCAGCGGTCCCTCCGAGTGGAGTCGTGCTGACTGTCCCCGTCCGCAGTGATCAAGAACTACCTCATCTCGGTCCAGAAGAACAACATCCCCGCCGTGAACGAGGCGTTCAACGACTTGCTGATCGAGGAGGAGGACTACAAGACGCTGCGGGACTCGATCGACACGAACGACGCGTTTGATTCGGCCGAGCTGAGTCGGCGACTCGCGCAACATGATCTGCTCGAGTTCCGACGATGTGCGTGTCGACTTTCCAGGCTGCTATACCGCCCGTGCTAACGATTGCTGCGAGTACAGTGGCCTCTCACCTTATGGCGCGAAACAACCAGTGGACCGCCTCCATCACCCTTTCGAAGGAGGATAAGCTCTACAAGGACGCCATCGCCACCGCCGCCGCTTCCAACAAGACTGAGATTGCGGAAGATCTGCTCCGTTACTTCAGCGACATCGGCTCGCGCGAATGTTACACGGCGCTGCTCTTCGCGGCGTTCGACCTCATTCGGCCCGACGTTGTCGAGGAACTTTCGTGGCGCCATGGCTTCCACGACGTCGCAACGCCTTACCGCCTCCAGGTCGACCGTCTGCGGTCCGAGCAGCTGGCCTCGCTCGCGAAGAAGATGGAGGACTTGATGAGCAAGACGGTCGCGAAGGAGGAAGAAGACGCAGCACCCTTCTCTCTCGCTCCGCAAACTCTCGCTTTGACCTGGGGGTGAACGAACGTGTAGGTAGATTTGCAACGATTCTGTGGCTTCGACTAGACTTCGCTCAACGAGAGGGTCGAGGAGAAAACGTGATGCAAGCTGAAGCGAGAGGTGAGAAGAGAAACGAAGCTGCGCGGCGCTTAACCTTCCGATCCATCCCAGAGCGGCCGCGTCAGCGCCTGCTCGAGCGTTACCCATCGGTTCCGTGACTGGAGACCGTAGGGCCAATACGAGCCTTGACGATGCTGATCGCCGTGGTTCTGCAGATTGCGCGCTTGCGACCGGCCGACAGCGTACGACATCGGGCAAGTCTGCCAGGAGCAACCCGTCAGCAACTGCGCAGGATGCACCCAGGCAGCACCACGCTTACGTCAAGATCGCACAGAGCTCGTTCGGGATGTTCGGCAGCGATGTGAGCACGCTTGCCCAACGCTCCGCCGGTCAGAATGTCGCATCCCTGCGCGCAAGACGCGGAGTGAACAGCCGTTGATGTATGTAGAAGGAGAGCTTCGACGCACTTCGGGACATCTGCCCCAGCAGAAATCGCCGCGGCGATGCTGGGGGAGGAGCTTTGGCAGGTTAACAAACGGGCAGTCCTGGCGGTGACGACGCAAGTAGTCAGCAAGGTCGAAAGCGAAGTATGCCGAGACGCACATTCAGTCCGCACCGCTCATAGAGGTGCCAATGTTGCGGCTGGGAATGTTCGAAGGTGCGAGCGAATTTGCGACGGGGCGCTGGAGCGTCCTCCGACTCCTCGCCGCTGTCGCAACTCGCGCCTGAATGTCCTTCATAAGCGCCGCGGCGGGCCTTCGGACGTTGGCGAGCTGAAAGGACGCATTGTCAGCATCGCTCGCGATTCTAAAGCAGGCGAAACGATAACAACGCACTTGTCCTCCTCTTCCGATGAAGCTCGCCACCGTTGCGCTTCGCCGCTTCGCTTTGGCCGACGCGCCTCGTCAAGCCGTAGTATACCATGAGGGTCAAGAGCTGCAAGACCTGGGGATTGACGTCTTCCACGTCTTCCTCGGCGATGTGCGCTTCGACGCCTTCGAGGAGGTCCTCGACCGTGACGACGATGCTCTTGCCGCGCGACTGGTTGATCGTGAAGCACAGCTCGGCGGTGGGCTGCATGCGGGAGAGAAAGTCGTCGCGGAGGGCGACGAGGTCGTCGGTGATCCCGTCTGCTCCGATAACAACCAGTCTGTCGATGTGTGGGAGCTTCGAGAGGGGAGTCGTCGAGTCATGACGACGGGCAAGCGGCATGTTGAGCCCCGTAAGCCACTTCGACGGTCCTTCGCGTGCTGTACCGAAGGCGAGATGGACGGAGACAGCGTCTTCCGGTTCCGCACCCCAGGCCGACTCAGCCGCCTCGCGTCCCTGCGCTTCCATGTCGTCGAGCTGCCGCTGGAGAGCGCGCTTCGCCGCCTCAATCGCGCCTTCGGGGTTCCCATAATTTCTGCGACGTGCTCGGAAGGGTAGAACTCCAAGCTCGCCCTCGTCATTCTGTGAAGAATGTAGGCGAAGGGATCGTCGCCGTCGCCTCCAGCGCCGACGTACCCGCCTTGGTGCCGGCCGGCCTCGACGTTTGCTGCGGCTGCAGGATGGACCGCATCGAAGATTGGGTGTTCAACCTGAACGCGCGAGGAGGAGGCGAATGAGCTCGCCGAACGAGTGTCGGGCAGGGTGTCGTGCGAGAGACGCGTAGACGAGGCTGCGGAAGAACGAGCACGCGGACGAGCGCCGTTCGAGGTGCGCGAGGTTCCCGTCGTGCGGGTCGACTTGATCTTCGAGTTGGCGAGGAAGTCGGCAAGCCTGACGGGCGTGGATGAACGGGGTCGCGGAGAGGAACCGGCAGACGTCTTGCGCGACGAGGTCGAGGTTGCGGAGTCGGTGTCGGATCCTGGATTGACGACCGTTGTTGAGCCGGGCATCGATGCGTCCGCATCTTCGGGCTCTGGAAACTGCGGAGCCGATGGCTGAGGCAAAGCACCAGCTTCGTCCATGACGACTTCGGGCGAATAGGAGCGGGTCGACGGAGACGTCGAATGCAAGTGCTGCGCATTGGCGATGACCGGCGCTTCGTCGCCACAGGGGAAAGCGTCGACAGCGACATCGCTGAGCGAGTTGTCGTAGCCGGACGAGGCGGTAGGAGTCGGGGAAGAAGCTGTGAGAGGACGCGAAATTGTCAGCTGATGCGTTGATCACAAAGTCTTCGCCTCACTGTTGTGGACGTCTCGTGCGGTCCCAGTAGTGCGCCCGGCTGTATGGATCGAGGTCACGGTGAGCGCACTGATGACAATCTCGAGGGAAGAAGGTTCAACGCACCCGTTTCATCGCGAGCGAGCGGTTCAAGACCTTCCGGCACTCTCGCCCTGACCGCACCGTGGTTGCCAACTTCTCCTGCGCCGCCGTCCTGCTCGAGCGAGCTCGTTGCCAGCCTGCTCTGACTGCCCGCTCCCCAAGCGCTTCTCGAACCTCCAAGTAGTTGGCCTGCAACATCTTCTTCACCGACTCCCGACCTCGCTGCGGGGACATCGGGCCCCCCAAAGAGCTAGCTGGTACGCGAGCTGGGTGGCTGCGGCGCGGCGTCGACTGGAAAATCGGCGAGCGAAGGGCGCCGCGGATCTTCCGGCCTGGTCGAGGAGGAGGTGGATCTCGCAGCGGGAGTCCAGTCGACGGGCACAGGCGCAAGGGGCGATCTGACCGGCACTCGTGGTCGAGGCGCAAAAGTGACAGGCGGAAGACGCGAAGAGCGAGGCGTAGCGCGGTCGAGGGGGGGAGGGTGCAGAGGAGAGCTTGCGGGTGGGCGCCGAAGGTTCTCGTCGCTCTGCAGACGTGCATACGGCGCTCAGAACCCGTCGCGACAACCTCGCTTGAGCCTAAGATGGACGCACTGTCTGAAGGAGACGACGAGCGGCACCACGGACGCTGAGGACGAGCGGCGCACGCTGCGAGGACGGAATGTCCGGAGGCCGTCCCGCCATGATCGACAACGCGTCTCTGCAAGAGCCTGGACGAAGCAGGACGAGCGAGTGAGCGGACGGTGAGAGGGATGTCAACGAGGTCGATGAGGACGAGGTGTCGCTCGTCAACCGGGTCTTGCTGGGCTCGATCAGGCTGTGCAGCAGTCGATAACGTCTTCAGATACGCTCCGAGGCTGTCCAAGCCCTCCACGAGGACGTGCTTCGACTTGAGCTTGCATGCGACCTCTCCCTCTTCCTCTCTCGCTTTTACCACTCACTCGTACCTCGCTCAGACAGTGCTGACCGTCTCGCGAAGCGCGTCATTTCCGTCTACCTGCCCATACGACACTCCCCAGCCCGTCAACACTCGCCCCTTCTCGTTCTCCCGCTCCAGTCCTCGGTCGTCTCGCCTGCCACCCCCAGCCTCCTCGCACGCCCGCAAGTGCCATGTCAAGTCCGATCGAAGCCTTCTGTCCCCCTGCCGACCACGAGCACATTGTCGCCGTGACAGGCGTCTCGCGCGGACAGCCGCTCGACCAGGTGCGCACCGTCCTCCTCGCTCGATGTGACGGGTCCAGCTGACGCGCATCATTCGTGGCTCGTTAACGTATAGATCTCTGGAGAGTTCTATCGCGTGGGGAGGACGCTTGGCGCGATCCGTGGAGGCAGGTGCTCGGATGACGGGAAGCTTTCGTACGTACATGTTCTCCCGCTAAGTCGGTGCAAGCGAGCTGGCTGACCATGGGGCCGTATCTTCGTTAGCTTCTTTACCTTCGAGACGCAGGAGGAGGCGAGGAGGGCGATTGAACACATTCACAACGCCGACCTGGGCATCCGCCTCGCGACGGACTCGAAGTGCCTCAAAGCTTCGGTGAGTCCGCCCGCTCCGACTCGTTCGCTTTCCTTTCGCAGTAGTTGACGTCTTCCGCTCTGCCCACGCGCTCAGTACGGCTTCACAGCCAGCTTCTGGTTCGCCGGTTCTCCGCCCTGCAAGAAGGCGGGTAACTTCGTCAACTTCCCCGCTGCTGAGCACCCCGCCCCCGCTTCCGCCCCTTTCTCGAGTCCTGCCGCTGTCGACCCGCTTCCCGACGAGCTTGCCGAAGACGACCCTCTCCAACGCTCTCCAACCCCTCTCGCCGACTCGACGCAGCCCGAGCTCGCGACGGACCGACGCGCCCCGAAGCGCAGGAGGGTCGACGAAGACGGCCCCGGTGTCGAGCAGGATAACTCGAGGGAGCAGTCGACCTTTGCGGCGACGCACAATCAGAGCGGCGAGACGGAGCAGACGGTCGGTGAGACGGGCATGATCCAGGATTCCGCGGAACAGGTCGACTCGGAGGAGACGAAGAACGAGGAGGGCGCTATCCGCGAGACGAGCGGGTTCGATCAGCAGGAAGTGGAGGACGGCGGCGAGGCTGGCGCTGAGAAGGTCGACCCGAGGTGCGTTCTCCTGATCCCTGCGAGTTCTACGCACGTCTTTCGCCGAGCTCACGCTCGATGCTATGCACTAGGGACACCGGCAACGCTGGTCGCGCCGTGCAGGACGGAGTCGACGCCATCGTCACCGCTGGCGGACTGAGTGGAGACGGCTACAGCGCCCGCTACAACGTCGACTACGCACAGCACAGGATCCGCGTCGACATCTACGGTGAACGTGGATTGCCGCTCGCGATCAAGGAGGCGGATGCGATCCTCGTCCAGGGTATCGCCGCCAGCTGCTTCGACTTCGACAACCCTAACAAGCTCGGTGTCGACCTCTGCACGATCGCGAGGGTTTTCCACATCTCGGTCGACAAGATGTACGCTCTCGCTCCGCGCCTGTACCTCGGACTGTGCTCAAGCGCTGACCCGTACTCGAGCGCAGCGTCGGCCTCGTCATCTGGCCGGGCCGTACGGTCGAAGGCCAGCCGCGCTGGTGCATCAAGGTCTATTTCTCGCCGACCATCGCGGGCGACATCATCAGCGACGCCATGAGCGGCGTCAAAGGCCGTATCGGTCGCAACGGCAAGCGACTGCCAGTCAACAGCCTGTTCATCAAGTGGTTCGACGCGGACCGCGAAGAGCAGCGCAAGATTTGCCAGGACCGTCGCGATGCCGACCGCCTCCTCAACCGCATCGCCTCGTCGTCGCGGGACGGCGGCAGGGACTACAGGAGGGAGGACGACCGCAACGGCAGGGACGACCGCTGGGCGAGGAATGCCGGCATCTCGGGCGGTGACAGCTACGGTGGGCGTCGTGATGGCTCGCGTGATCGCAGGGACGACCGCAGGAGCGGCGGCTGGCAGGACCGTCGCAGCTGGCGTCGTCGTTGAAAGGGGTTGAGCGTTGAGCTCGCTTGTTTCGCATGTTACTCTCCCTCACTGTTTCTGTTTCGCATATTACCCCCCC